TTAGCCACTTGGCCACTTCTTATGACCTTGTGTTTATATCGATTTTTTTCTGCATGAATTCAGGTAGTATTTTCTTTTACGTGATTCAAGTTACGCAACGAGAGGCAGCAACTGAAGAGCTCTCTCGAAATGCCATGGATCCGATAAATCTTGCTGTTAATGCTATCTTTAAATTTGCACCTGGGAAACGCTGCTTTAAATACACAATTATTATTAAATGAGGGTTGAAGGTTGGACTTCTGACCAACAGGTCACGGGTTCAAGCCCCCGGGTGGCGGTACCAGCTGAAGTAAGCTAATGATTGGTTGGTAATGTGCATCCAGTAGCCGTTGTGTAGCTACTGACGCAGGTCGAGAGTGAGCTCCAAAGGGGAGCGGGACGAGTGAGTTCCGTTAGTGATCGGTAAGCGCGTTCAACAACGAAGATAAGTTGTCGCATGCCGTTAACCAGTAGGGCCTCCGGTCATGGGTGCCTACACAATCACCTCAGGTGCTAAAGTCATATTTCCATCTGTTACGCTAATTGCAAAAAATAAGGTACATGTCTCATTACTCAAACCACTGGTACTGTTACAGGAATTACTAAGCGTCCATGTCTAGTTGATTCTGAAGAAGGCAGCTTCCTATTTAGACAGATGATGTTCCGCAAATTCTAAGCTAGAGCTAGGTAGACAGTTAAGGATACCCTGGAAAACGGAAAATGGCTCTTTCTTAAGACCTAAATTTGTGATAGATTTCAGATATTATTAAATACTGTTAAATACACGTTTCTTTAACCCTTCCGTTTACCATTCTCTCGATAAAGATTAGGACTGCATACTAGATTCAAATTTCCTACATGCACGTACAGGCCCGCATTGTAGTATGCTAATTCTCGGCTTTAGAAATAATGACTACAATGTACTACAATAAGCACGCCTGACACTGACATACTACTTCTAGCAGCAGTATTCTAGCCCTCGTAGTCTACAATTTAGAAAAAACTGACACATTTTTGGGAAAAGAGGTAGGAGGGTAAAAACTAGCGCAAGCATCCACATGCTCCGAGCCTCAAATTTACTCGGAATAGCATAAAGCCAGGTCCCCAGGCGTCATTTCTGACCAATTATTAGCATCAGTAATAGTACCAACACTACTGTCATTCAGCTACACTGTTAGCAAGCAGTAATATAAATAGTAGTAGCAATATCAGATTCGGTCTCCTTGAGTCTTTCTGGACACCTACTGAAGGCGAGTGAGGGTAGGTTGTGCAGTAGTACAGGTGCAAAAGGCTACTTTCATTTAGGACTAAGTTAGGCGGTGTTTCTGGTCTGCATTGGAGAAAGCGGCTTATGCCTGATTCCTGCTCGGTCATCTTGCTTCCGTATTATCCCCGGTTCAAGCGGGATGAAGGTTTAGAGGGTGGTAGATGGCTGTCCGCTTACTTTCACTATAACTGACTACAGTCACAATCCCTGCTCTTGGGCATATGATGGACACAACGGATATCGATGGTCGAACTATCATCCAATAAGGCCTTACCAGGTGACGTCTTGGAACCAGCGTGTCTAAGGTTTGGATGGACCTGTCGAATGTGCATTTAATAACTGTAGGAAACCATAAATTCACGAGTTCCACTTCCCCGCTGCCTGAGTGAATAACGACAAAGACGAGGAAGAGGGGAATGACCATTTCTGGCTAATTACCCATCGGAATTCAGTCATACCGAACCCTCGGGGGTAGAGACCCGCGAGGCTCGAACCCGCGACCTTGTTGGTTAGAAGGCTAACGCTCTAACCACTGCGCCACGGGTTCATTGCTTTGCCGGTTTTGATCGGAGGATAGTAGACGCTCGCCCAATCTCGGACGATACATACCTGGGATTTCGTATGACTGGCTGATGACGGCTAATAAGCCTGAAATTTCCATTCGGGTCTCCCATCTCTTTCAACTGCAATAATCTCGGGAAAACACACTTACTCACAAACAATTAATTGATGTTTTATAATTCTCTCAGAAATTAATGGCTAGCGTGAAGTAAATCCGTCTGAATTAAGGATTATAGGCGCAGATATTTGCGCTGAAGTCAATCTGTCTGCGCCTGCAAACCTTAATTTAGACTGATTTAATTCAAGTTAGCGATTATTTTTCTGAGGAAATTAAAAATCACCAGTTTCAAAACCGGAGTATCTGTCAGGAAACAAAATATCACCAAAATAAGTGTGTGGGCTTTCACTTAGTACCTGTGCAGCCAGTATAGTGTATCCTGTATCAAAAAAATAACTTTTCTTGCATTATATTTGGGGAAAAAGGACCAAAATATTTGTTTAAGGATTTTTCCCGAATTTTCTTCTACTGCAGTGACTGTAAACGTGTCCAACTAAAAACCACAATTCTGTACAAAAGATGCGAGTTAAAACAAGAGCGTTCCAACAATCACATCTCCTGCTTCATTTTAGTCAGATTATGCTGTATTCTGAAATTTGGCTTCCGTCTGCGTAAAAGTATATTTACAGATTCCGCTGCATGAACGCACGTCATCGTGCACAAAAAGGCAGTCCTCGTCAGAGCCAATGGGAAAACTCTGTTTTTAAGGGCGCGCGCGCACTTACCGCTATGAACTGATGGTAGGTGTCCAATTTCTTTTCCAGCAGGGTCACTTCCTCCATAGCAGCGTCTAGTGAACCCAAAAGTCGGGCAACCTGATTCTCTGAGGCCATAATAAAGTGCACATTGCTCTAAAATATAGAGGGAGGGTGGAGATATAGTTTCACCACCAATGACAGTTCAACAGTCACTCTTACGGTATTTGTGCTACCTATGTCATTTTGACTGAAATACTGAAATGTGTGCTCGACTCAGCAAGATTACTTAAGTATACGTGTGGCGGACGGCCAACAATGCTGGGCCCCCTTCGTTCTGCAAGGCCCGCTGCCCCAAAGTCATGCATCGTCAGGGGACCTGTCCCTTTTCTGGCTAATCGATAACAGTTGCTCCAGTGTCCCCTTCCTCCGGCATCCTGATGGCCCAGACACTCCCGCTAACAGACAAACGTTTCGCCGAAGCATGGCGCCCCCCACAGTTG